GCTAAGAAATATGATCTTAAGTGATTCAGGAGTAATCCAACCTATTTCAGAAGTGTCCCCTATTAGCCACAAGGTCTTAAGATTTACTCCTCTAATTTGTGATACTGAGGTACTGAAACTATTTCAGATGTCAACCATAGAGATGTATGATAGGACCATAAATCTTGGAGAACATGTTCCCTAATATATGGAGAGAATGGAGATCATCCCCATTCCGTTGCATCTCAAGGAAGCATGTTTGTGTAAATGGTTTGGTTCAAACCACACATTATCAACATTAAAATGGATCCTAGGTGTTTCCCCTTATTCTATTACATCTCTTTAGCATTTTATTAACTTATTTGTTAATCAGTTTTCATGTAGTAGAACTTTTGAAAGACTAACCAATGATTTATACAGAGTAACCCAAAATACAGAAGAATCACTCGTAGATTATTTAAGCATGTTTGGAAGAGACGCTTTGGATATCTCAAACTTAGATGTTTGCACAACCGTGGAATCTTTCAAGATGAAACTGAAGAAAGATTCTCCTTTCTATGAAGATCTCGTAGTGAATTCATGCAAGAAATCGGATGAAGTCAGAAATAGGACATTAAGATTCATCAGGATGGAAGTAGACAAGAAGACACAAAAAAGAATTAACACACACTGACGACGTATGACCATCCCAACAAAAAATCTGAATCCTCATCTCAAATGTCTTATAGGGCTAAACCCTACTTGAAGTCCAAGATTCATAGCGTTAATATCCTTGAGGATGAAGAGGAAGAATATGATTACCCTAAAGTATCTGACTACTGTTTTCCGTTGAACTTTCATGTTTACTTTGTGCTATGCGGGATCTTGGAGATAAGGCAAGATGTGTAACATCTACTTTTTGGATGTTCCTAATTTCGGGATAGCGGACTGTAATTTAATCGAGTAAAGGTCATGGGCTTCAAGGGAATAACTTTTAGACTTTATTAGATGTTGATAATGTTGGTTAAGTGATTTAAGCCCTTGAATTGTGCTTTGGAGCCAAAAAGGGTGAAATAGGAAAAAGTGATATTTTGGACTCTTTGCATGTATTATTGAATTAATTTTGGTATAAATTAAGTAAAAAGTAATTATATGTAATTTTGGATCTTGTTAATACCTTCGCGTTCATATAAAGATCACTAAAAATGGATTTGGAACAAAGAAGTTATGATTGTTTGAAGCTGGAATGAAATAAGTGAAACCCGTCACCACAACGTAGTAAGAAGGTTACCACGATGTGGTGAGATGTGCAGGCCAAGCCTATAAAATTAGGTTTTCCTCCATATTTAAATGTAATTCCTCCATGTTTTAGGTCATTTTACAGCTTCCATCACATCAAAAGCTCATTGAGGGCAAACCCTAGTCTCCTACTTCATAGTTTGACAGGCTAAGCCCATAAAATTAGGTTTTCCTCCTCATTTAATGGTAATTCCTCTGTGTTTAGGTCATTTTACAGCCTCCATCACATCAAGAGCTCATTCGGAGCAAAACCTAGCCTATTACTTCATAGTTTGAGCATCCCTTCTCTCCTCTCGCACTTCTTGGTTGGTTTTTGGTGGTTTAATGTGATGCTTTCTTGCAAGATTGGCTATTGAACCTTGGTTCCAGAGGATCTCAACCCTCATTCACTTTTTGGACCTTTGTAAGTCACAAAGTTCCTTGATTTTTGGTATCTTGTCTTTGGATCTTGAAGTATTATGTGTTTAGTCCATGAAATGATGGTTTGGTACCAAAACCTTTATGTTCTTGGAGTTTGATGAACTCTAGAACTTATAAGTAATATATTTGGCTTCTAGACCTTTGTCAATGAAGAAACATGGTTGCTTTGAGTCCATGCATAATTTATGACCTTTTTGTGAGGTTTTTGAACTTAGGGTTTTATATCTAGCTTTATGGAGTTATTTAGATGGATAAAGTTGGAAACTTTATCCATTAAGACCCTTAAAAGAATCAGATATGAGCCTTTGAGCTCTAGAGGTTAAGGGTTAAGTGCTTAATTTATTAAGTTGTTTTGGACACTCACCACGACACAATGAGTGGTGGGTTGAGGCGCGGTGATGGGTTTCAGTCGTGTCTATTTTGTTGCCTTTATTGCCACGGCATGGTCATGGGGTTGGCCATGATGCGGTGGATCAACCGTTGAATTTGACCATTGACTATTGACTTTTGAGGAATTTGACTTTTTGTCAAACTTTGGTAGAATTGAGTATTTAACTGGGGACTACTCTCGGTTTGGAATTAGGTAGCTCGGATTAGCTATTCTGTTGCTGAGGTTGCTGCTGAGCTTCTGCTATTTAACTCAGGTGAGTCTTCTCACTATACTATGTATGACACTAGGTGTCATGGTATGTTAGATTGTCTTTGTGACTTTTTCATGCAATTCATTTACAAAAGAATATCGGGGACCATAAAAACTATACGAAAGACTATGTGGGGACCATAACAACTATACAAAATACTATGGGGGCCATATAAAATATATGAAAGACTATGAGGGGGGGGGGATATCAGGAAAGACTGTAGCGAGGTTGTAGCAACGGAAGTGATTATAAGACTATGGATGTATCATAACATTCACATAGGTTGAAATATACCCCTAGGGCGGGGCCCATTGATATGTGTTGTATGTGGTATCTTGGGAAACTCACTAAGCTTTGTCTTACAGTTGTAAGTTTAAATGTTGCAGGTCTTTTTGGCAATACAGGAAAAGCACGATATGACTGCATCACATCTGCTTTTATGATTTTAAGATTTTTCACACTTATGAATTTATTACTCTGATTTAGGTTATCAAATAACTGAATGTTGCCTTTTTATCATTTAATTGTATGTTTTCCTCCACATTAAAAAAGAAAAAATTGGTATGAAATTTGGGATGTTACAAGACGACCCGATAAAATTGAAAAAATATCCTTCTGGAAAGACATATCCAAATGATGTGCATATCATGAGGATTTCGGCTATACCACTGAGGATAACATCGCTTTAAGGAAAGAAATCAGTTACTAATCAAGCAAAGGACACTTGAGAGAGATTTTAGAAAAAAAGAAAGACAAGTCCAAGAACATGGAGCAAAATCTTGACAAGACCCCGAAAAAGAATGACATATCTACCCCTAGATGCTAAGGTAATAAACTTTATATTCAGAGGATTTGACATATATAGTACATCTTATTCCATAGCTAAAAGACATGCTAGAGCATCCAAGATGGAAAAGGATAATGGACCAAATAAGAATGCTTTCCTAACAGATTAGAATGAAATATCATTTGATGAAGATGATAGGGAAGATGTCATTGATGCTCATCATGATCCACTGATAATAACCCTATATGTTGCCAATCACTTTGTGAGAAGAATCCTGTAGATGGTGGAACTTCAATTAATATCATTTTGTTCGACACTTTGAACAAGATGGATATCCCAAAGTCCGAGATAGTCAGAAAGTCTTTAGCACCGATGGGATTCAACGGCGAAACCAAGAATACCATCAAAGAAAATAAACTACCAATCTACATTGAGGGAATAAATTCCATGCAATGCTTTTTTGTAGCTGATTTGTTATCTTGCTATAACATTATTTTAGGTAGACATTGGATACATTATATGAAGGTCGTCCCTTCGACATACCATCGATGCGTCAAGATGTCGACCCCTTGGGGAATAATCAAAATAAAAAACGACCAACAAGAGGAAAAAGACTGTTACACAACATCCACGAAGAACTCTGCGGTGCCTAAACAGGAATATCAATTAAAGAAAAAATCATGAGATGTCTTGGAAACAAGAGAATATGATATCAAAAAAGTCATACTAATTCCTGAAGATCTATATGTTAAAGCGCTGTTGGGAGTTGATGTTGATCAAGATCTTGTAAAATTCCTAATGACTCATTTCTAGAGTTGGTTACTTCCAACACCATACGACTCATTTCCATCTGAACTCTTTACTCAATAAATCAACTTACACCACTTTCCACGAACATTATTAACAACAATCAACCATACTATATTGGGAGACATACTATTTACAATATTAAAAAAAATAGTTGACATCGCTATCGTCCATAATTTGCATAACTATGTCTGATTTAGGACATTAAAATGACAAACATATTTGATTATTGTATAACGAGGACTTTGAATATATCAACTTAATCATCCTAGCAAAGTTGATATCATTTGTTAAATCCACACCATAACATGTGTAATCTGAAGACATAATGCAGAGTCGTTTATTCACTCCTACAGTCATCTACTATAAACAAGTACTAAAAAACCGATTACATAAACTCATTAATTTTCAATAAACCGCTAAATAAATGTTAAAAAGCATAAACCTCTAGATTTGGATTCATAAACCTCTAAACAACCCCCACGATGGAAGCATAAAGTTTGATGACTGAAATTCCACATAGAAGGTCCAATGTTCAAACGCTGACACACCCAAAATATTGTTCGTTTTCCGCGGTTAACCTCTCACATAAGCCTTAAGACGGATTGACGTGAGCCGTTCAGATGATGCGATTTACCATTTTTTAAACCTCTAAACAAATGTTAAAAACATAAACATCTAAATAAATGTCCAAGATGTTAGATTTAAGTATTGTTTTTTCCATAATGGAATACCATATAATCCGGATAGTACGATGTTCAATACAAAATATATGCTTTAACCCGGTAATAGATTTTGAAGTACCTTTACCTCAACTATAATCATCATCTCACCAACTCTCGAACAACTATAATATCGATAATGTCGTTTTACTGACAAAATGATTTTTTTTTAAAACTATAAAAACTTGGTTATTTTTCTTAAATTAGCTTGTTGATTAGATTTAATTTTGTTAATATCACTGACAACAATCTTAACAAAAATTGTTGTGAGTTGATATTAACACAACAATCTGCCGTTAAAAAAAAAAAAGTCTATAGATAAAGAATATTAAAAGTATGTAAATATGCTTTAAAAACAATTTTGTAGGTTGATGGGTTGATGCGCTAAAGCACACTAGTAATGGGAGAGCGATAGAGTCATATCGTCCTCAAAGTCGTCAAATTCCCAAATTCAATCGCGTTTCTGTCGGTGGGAGCGCGTGATTTCCTCCGTATCTCCGCCTCTCCCTTTCCCCACCACACTTCTCTGCTTCTATATTTCGTTTTCAGTTTTTATAATTTCTTTAATCTAAATCGCCACTTGGTTTGGATTTTGTATTTGCGTGGTCCGAGTTGTCATAAATTGAACAATGCAGCATTTTTGACATGAATCAGAGTTTGTTTCAATCATTCCTACCGATATAGACAAATTTAGGGTTTTTGTAGCTCAGAGCAGCCAGCAAGCGAGCAATGCTGGGTGGTAAAGCGATGCTTAATTTCCTTACCAGAAAAGATGTCAGAAAAATCCTCAAGCGCAAAGACAGTGATGCTGGTGAAAGAGGTAATCCTCCCTCCCCTTAAGATTTTGTTTGTTCAGTTTGTATAATGCTTAGCTGATACGCGACACTAGTGAGAAACGGCGATTAAGAACGGAAAGATGGTTGAATTAAATTAAATTAAATTCTTGTTAGTGGGCTATATAAGAGGTTGAGTGTAGTCGTTCATCTGCTCCACTTATATAGACCTTCCTTAAATGGGTTTTGAACAACTAGTGGAGTAATATAAAGTTTTAGGTCAATTTCTCGATCTGCTAGAATTATTTGAAATTCCTTTATGTGGATGTTGAACAATTAGTGGAGTAATGCAAGTTTTTTGGTCGAATTCTTGATCTACTTCACTTTTACGACATTCCTTTAAGTAAGCGTTGAACAATTAATGGAGCAATGTGAAGTTCTAGGTCACGTTCTTGATTCGCTGCACTTATTTGACATTTCGTTATTGAAAATTAATGGAGTCATGTAAAGTTTTAGGTGAAATTCTTGATCCGCTGGACTTGTTTGAAATTCCATTTAGTGGTTGTTGACTAATTAATATTAATCTGAAGGGTGTATGAATGTTGAGTAAGCTAGCCTCTCTTTCCATCTATGGGTATGGTGTTATATCCAGAAATAAACTCTTATGTATCACTCAAAAGTCTAAAGAATAAGTCTGTTCATATCTTGATTATTTCGAGGATATGATTTGTGTATCAAGGAATTAAAGCAAATGAAATTTTAACTTCTATTTATTAGCAACAAGCTGGATTCTTGGTTGATGAAAACGATCCTTTTGCACTATCTTGATTGATATTGTGCATCAATTCTTTGAAATCTGAGGGCAACATAGCTAGTGTTTCTTTCATTTATGATTAAGAAAACAAACTGTTCAAAGTAAGAAGCAAATGAAATCAATTCTATTGGGTTTGTGGGTGGTAAAATTTGAGTAAAATAGTCAATTTGTTATAAACGAATGATAGATAATGCTTCGTTGTTCCCTTTGAAGGCTGTGGATTTTAGCTCCTAAATTTCTGAAAGCTACATGAACATGAAAAATACTGCAGATATTGTGCTTCTTTGGTGAATAAGTTATACTTTGTCCTATGGAAACTGTAAAATGATTTTGCTTACATAACATGTCTATTGTCTAAATTACCCTTCAATGAAGAAAAAAATAAGGGAATCTTTTTGACCGAGATTGATGACATTTAAGCATGACAATGGGCAAACAAACTTTAGCTTGGAAATTTGCCAAAAAAAGGAAGATTTAAAAATGGATGTGCCAACATGAAAATATATAGGGAACAAAACTCTTCTGTACAAATTTGTTTCCTTTTCCAAAAATTCTAATACTACAAAAGCATTAAGTGCTATCAGTGTTAAACAATTTTGGCATTATGAATGTAAAAAACAATTTGGAAACTAGTAAGCTTGACTATCAAAAGTTTAAATTATAGTATAATTTGCATAATGTAGCAATTATCAATTTATTATTGCTAAGTAGCACACACACATAATTATGTAAACAATAAACAACTTGTTAAAAGTTTAAGAGTTGGTGACCTACATAATCTTTAAATTCTGATCATTAATGCATTTCACCTTAAATTATACAAGAATTGAACTCCATGCTCAATTCAAACATTTTTTCTGGTTCTCTTCTACTTGCTTTCCATCATGGAAGTCAACTCTTAGTCAAACATGTTGCTAGAGTAAACAATGAACTAGTATTAAATCCCAAAAATAGCTAAAGAAAATTCCTGTTTTGATCTTTCCTTTTTTACACAGGAAGAGCAATGGAGGAACTACGGGCTTCTTTATTTAGCAAGTTTAGGCGTCAACACCAATCGTTGTTGGGGCCCACTCTTGCTCTTACATTCAATTTTGTTGCATCTGTTAGTATTATCTTGATGAACAAATTTGGTAAGTTAAGGTGTCATTTGTCTCTCTGGTTATATGCTATATTATTGACTAATATACCCCTGTTGTTTTCAGGTACTTGTGAAAGTTGGATTCAATTATCCAATCTTTCTGACTTTTATTCACTACATTTGTAGTTGGTTGATAATGGGCATCTTGAAGGCTTTATCTCTCCTTCCTCCACCTCCTTCTTCAAAGTCAACCAAATTTTCTTCATTGCTTGGTCTTGGTATAGTCATGTCACTCTCTACGGGTCTTGCTAATGTTAGTTTGAAGTTCAATAGGTAAGTCACTCAAATTGTTCTTGAATTCTTTTGCATCTTTTGATATAATGGGTTTAATAGGTTAAGCACTTAATCTGGACAGCTATATATAATGGCTGTTTCTTTTTGACTTAATGGGTTAAGCCAAAAAGACTTTGCTTAATGTATTAAGACACTAACAATTAATGTATTCATTATTAGTGTTGGATTCTATCAAATGGCTAAGATTGCAGTAACCCCAGCAATTGTTTTAGCAGAATTCATGCTCTACAACAAAAGAATATCTTTCCGAAAGGTAACTAACAACTTTTACACTAAAAGAGCGTTTTTAGAAAGTCAAATTGTCCTTCTTTTAAATTAAATTATCTGTAATTCATAAAAAAAAAAACTTTAATATTTCAGGTGCTTGCACTTACTGTAGTTTCCATTGGTGTTGCTGTTGCTACTGTGACCGATTTGCAGTTCCATTTTTTTGGTGCTTGTATAGCAGTTGCTTGGATAATCCCAAGTGCAACTAATAAAATATTGTGGTCAAATCTTCAACAACAGGAAAGCTGGAATGCATTGGCGTATGTTATGTTCCTTTACTTTATTACAAAAAATATATATAGATATTTTATATTTATAGATTTAGTTAAACACGAATGAATCTTTGTAGGCTAATGTGGAAGACTACACCCATCACTCTCTTTTTTCTAGTCATGATGATGCCATCACTTGATCCACCTGGCGTACTTTCATTTGACTGGAGCTTCTACAATTCTTCCATTATTGGGGCTTCTGCTGTTCTCGGCTTCTTGCTTCAGTGGTCTGGTGCTTTGGCTCTCGGGTAAGTAATTGGAAATTTGGAATGGAATGCGGAATGCTTCATTCCATTCCAATCCCAAATCCAATTCCGATTCCAAACTTATAATATCTCCGTGTGTGTTTTTTTTTTTTTTTTTTTTTAATTAATTACAGGGAAACTTCAGCAACAACTCATGTTGTTCTTGGACAATTCAAAACATGTGTGATCCTTTTAGGAGGTTTCATTATGTTTGGGTCAAACCCAGGGTCAACCAGCATCTGTGGTGCACTCACAGCTCTTGTTGGCATGTCTTTCTACACACATCTTAACTTGAAGAGGTCAACCCAACAACAGTCAGGAAAAACATCTCCCAGACAACAATCATCATCATCATCATCATCATCATCATCCACATCATCTTTTTCTTTACCAAAATCAAAACTTGGAAAAGAAAATGGAGGAGACATTCATATTCATGGGGACGAATCCGTCTAATCATTAATGAAAACACACATTCACACTCACACTCACACACACCCATCAAGGAAATTCTTTAACTTTAATTGTTTACAAGTTGTTTTTTTTTGATGTTTTAGATAGGTGTAGGACATTAGGATTGTAAGATCGGGTGCATGTAAATTGGGCTTGTTTTTAGATATGGCTAATTGCTTGCTGTTTCAGTTCAAATTAATCTCAATTTTTGAGTATGCAACAAGTAAATGTATCCTTTTTTATTTTAACACTTTTCCTAGGCAAAAAAAGAAATAAAATGAAACTGGATCCCACCTTGGGATCAATTAAGAATTGTAAATTCACTGTTTATAGAATTTAGGATTTTGAAAAAAAATGTCCACATCAAGGAGACATAAAGTTGTTCAAAATATGACAAATTGTTTGAATAATTCATTTGAGGCTTGCATCTTTTCCAGAAAAAAAAAATACGACATAAAGTTGTTCAAAATAAGTCTTGGATTTATTTTTAATTTTTAATATAACATAAAATGGTTCGAAATAAGTCTGAAAACTTTATCTCAGATATGGTGGTTATTTTTGACTTTTTGTAAAACCAAAAAATATAGATTATTTCCATGCATTCTCAAATGTAATATCCCTATAATTAATTTTTATTATTAATTTGTGTATTAGCTGTGCATGTGAAAATTTTATTATTTAAAGTCAGTTCGCATGAAGATGAAACATATGCATGTTCATTGGGCCATTCTTGATACACTTTGCATAGACTATCGGTTTTTTTTTTTTGGCAAAATGCATTCTCTCGGATTTTTTTGAATATTAATATTTTTCAGAATAGAAAACAAAACAATTGTTTTGCTTAAAACACAAAAAGCATATCGGTGTGAACCATTTTATGTTAGTTTTACCGAAAGTTATACAAACCGGTAGCCATCAATCCTATCATGAACTTGATAACCAAATCAGTGTGACAAGAAACAAACCCGAAGGTAACGTGTCGCGTTGTTAAATAATCAAGTTTATCAAATAAGACTTCAAGCGAGGGAACAAAAGCATCCAGGAATGATGATGCACCGAGAGCCAAACCCACGAAATTATTTGACTTTCCCTATAACGGTGGAACGAAATCATCCCGGAATATCATCAAACAATCCCTCTAATTGGTAGCGTCTTTATCTGCAAACCTAGTAAGATCTTCATTCATTTGATGTTGAAATTTGCTAGATTATATGGAAATATTCCCTTTATTAGAGTTCCATGTATATATCAATATATAAGAGTACAAGTTACAACAGAGCGGCTCAACAAGTTTGGGGGCCATAAGCGAACCAAAAATTTGGGGTCATTTAACATTTACTATACTTAATGTTATAAACTCTCATCATTTATCCGGGCTTGGGAACAGCAATAATAAACTAAAACGTTTACAAATGGCGGAATTAAAAACTTTTTTTTTTATGTATATGTTTTTTGTGAATATATTTTATGACATAAAGTTAATTTTTCTAGCCTTTTTAGATGCAAATTTTTTAATGAAATTTTCATAATCAATTTCTTTTACTAAATGTTTTTCGATTGACAAAATTGCTAATCCATTTAATCTTTCTTGTGACATTGTTGATCTTAGATAATTTTTTAACAATTTTAATTTAGAAAAACTCCTTTCTGCAGAGGCAACGGTTACAGGAATAGTTAACATACTCATATAGACAACATATGCATTTGGAAAAGAACTAAACTTGTTAATGTAATTAAGTATATTAATAATTGTATCATGTTCTAAATGTACAATATGTATTAAAAGTTTTAGTTCATGAAATAAATCTAGACCATCAATATCTAAGCTATCATCATGCTTTAAAGATTTTTCAAGATTTAAACAATGTTCTTTTAATGTATTTTCATCAAATGATTTTAATTTTTCTATACTAAATAGAAAACCAAAAATATTTTTGAACTCGTTAAATTGCTCAAATCTACTTTTAAGTGAAGTAATGATTTTATCTACTATATATAAAAAGTAATTAGTTTGAAATAACTGAACATGCGTTTTAATAGTTTCATTAGCAACATTTTCATCATATCGTCTATTTCTTTGAATGATATGTTTTTCACGAAATTCAGGTTTTACGTTCATTTCTAAAGCCAATTCTTTTGCATAATCTAAAGCCTTTTCAAATCCATTTTCTCTATATTCTTCAAAGAAACACAAAAGTCCATTTAGTTGATCTATAGCATCATCGATACACATGTCATTTGATTGCAAACTTTTACTAACAGGGTTAATAGCAAACAAAACATCATACCAAATAATCATTCCTAATAAAAATTTATAGTTTTCAAGTTCATATGTAGCTAAACATTTAGCCTCACTTTTGATTTTTGGATCTCCATAATTTTTGGATAATTGTAAAAGTGCTTTTCTTAATTGTGGTGCTTGAAATCTAATTGCTTTTAGACTTTCTACCCTACTTTCCCAACGAGTTTGCGATAATGATTTAAGTGTTAGGTTTGATATATTATCTTGTAATATTTTCCACCTTTGAGGTGATGAAGTAAATATCGAATATATACGGTGTATAACTCCAAAAAATTCACTAGCTTTACCACACGAATTAGCCATATCACAAATTGCTAAATTTAAACTATGACAACCACAAGGAGTGTAGAATGCTCTAGGGTTAATATCTAACAATCGTTTCTGTACACTTTGATGTTTTCCTTTCATATTTGATCCATTGTCATAACTTTGACCCCTAACATCATTTATATCTAGTCCTATATTTTTAATTTTATCAACTATAGCATCATATAAGCCTTTACCGGTTGTATTATCTATAATTAAAAATCCTAGAAAGTACTCCTTAACTTCAGTTGGAGTTGTTGAAAGATCTAAACATCGTAAGATAATTGACATTTGTTCCTTATGACTTGTATCGGGAGTACAATCAAGTATTATTGAAAAGTATTTAGCCTCTTTTACTTTTTTAATAATTTTACTTTTAACTTCTTCTTCTAATAAACTAATAAGTTCATTTTGCATATTATGTCCAAGATAATGATTATGAATTTCTTTGTCATTAATTATCCTAATATGTTCTTGCATAATAATATCAAATTCCGCAATCATTTCAATTATAGTTAAAAAATTACCATTATTTTCTTCATAAATCTTTTCATTTGTTCCACGAAAGGCTAAATTATTTTTTCTTAAAGTTTTTACTACAACAATGATTCTTTTTAACACATTTTTCCAATGTTCTTTTTCTTTATTTATTTATTCTTGGATTTGCTTGTCAGTTGTTTTGTTATTTGCTAATCTAGTTTCTAAGTCAATCCATGACCTCATATTAAGAATGTGTCCGTTACTTGCTTCATGTCTTTTTAGTATACTAGAAATATTGTTCCAATCATTATTACCTTTATGTGTTAATGAACATGTAGATGTATTTACATTAAATAATTTACAACAAAAACAAAAAACTCTATCTACATCTATAGAATAAACCAACCATGTTCGTTCGTATTTTTCTCCATTTGGTATTTTTTGCATATAAAGAGATGTACTAAAGCTTCTTTAATGTTGATCTTTTGGAAATTTAAAATCATAAATCTTAATAGGATATTTTTCTACAATTAAATCTCTTAAATTAGTACTAATATTGTTCCATTTACTTGGATCATATATGTTTAAAGGCGTGTTATCATTTTCATTATTAGTTTGTTCGTTATCAATTTCAATATTAGTTTGTTCGTTATCATTTTCACTATTAGTTTGTTCAATATCATTTTCACTATTAGTTTGTTCGTTATCAATTTCAATATTAGTTTGTTCATTATTATTTTCAATATTAGTTGGTTCATTATCATTTTCAATATTAGTTGGTTCATGATCATTATTATCAACATTAGTTTGTTCTTGTTCATTATCAACATTAGTTTGTTGTTGTTCATTATCAACATTTTTATTTGTAGTTAAATATTTTTAAAAACGACCCTTTTTGTTTATCTATAAAAGCTTCTTCTTGCATTTTTCGTTTCCTTTTTGAAGCATCAGATTCGTATTTTCTCTTTGACATGATTATTAATTATTTGATTAATAATAACTATAAGTATAGAAGATATGATTTAGAATTATACCGCCCCTGAGATAATGGAAAGCTCAAAAACAATGGAATCTGCCAATTTGGAATCGGTGAACAATGAAATCAGCCAATCTGGAATCAGTGAACAATGAAATCTGCCAATCTGGAATAAAAAATCAGAAAATTGAAAAGATTAACAACTTTGATCGTCCATGCCATTTGGATAAAGCCAAAAACAATAAAATACAAAAAAAAAAACCATTCATTAGATTGCAAAAGATTCATAAGAAATTCGTGGCTTAATGGGCTGTTAAAATAATCTAGTCACTCATGTCCATTGTCAAAAGATTAACCCTAATTAATTGGCTATTAACCCCAACAAGGGATGTCTCATATTCCAATTCCACATCCGTCGTAAAAAAAATTATAAAGTTTTTTTTTCTTCTAAAAGACTAAAATATACAATCTTTGGAATCAACTAATCAAAGGAGTCATACCAATCTGATTACCTTTGGCCACTTTTCTTAACCGACAAAGCTCCTATATCAAGATTACTGCAAACAGTCTATAGTTTTGATTATTCTTATTTATAAAATTGCCTACCGGCCTATGTTGAAAAAAAAAAACAAAGAAACTAAAGAACATTTAAATAAACCATAATAATATCGAAGAGTATTCCAGATTAATTTAACCTAAATTGCATTTATTCATTAAAGAACCTCCATCACGACATCACCACTTAGTTTTTTTTTTTAAAAAAAAAAAATTTAAAATACAAACACATTACCTGTTACCTTTTCAATGACTGAATGACAGCAAAATAGCAGCAAATCATCAAATCAATGGACAATGAACAATGATTTTTGACTTTTGAGCAATGGAGAAACCACGAATAAAGAAGGAAGAAGAACTAAAGTCTGAAGAGTGAAGAACAGCAGCAACGATTCAACGATTCAACAGAAGAGTGGAAGAATCGATTGGAGAAGGTCTAGAATCGAGTCCGAGAATGGAGAAAAAGAAAGGAAGTGGAGTGCCGTACTCGTCGCTTGAAGAATCGATCATGTAACATCCGGAATTTCGGGTATGATAGTTCGTGTTTCAATTTCGAGGAT